ATCTGAAGTGTACCTGGCGTATAAGACGACCCCCCACTTGGAGGCATATTTTTCAGGGCCAAAAAATCGTCTTATACGCCGGCAAATACGGTACTTACACATATAGAGTGCAAGACTCCTAATTAATGGTGCCTTTGTGGAGATGACTATCAAGCTCTGCTTTCTTTGACCCTAGAGCTGTATTTTGATATGTCTTATATACTTCTACCTAGAGAGGCCATTATGAGGCACCTCGTAATCAAATTCCTTGAAGGCAAAGATTATTTTACTTTTGTATTTGTTTCCATGGTGCCTTGTACTAATAGGTAATCTGTGTAAATGTCTGTTGTGGTCATCATCTTTGGATGATGATGTTAACAATTTTGAACAGTATAACTATGAAAAGTAGAAATTGCTAGTGTTTAGAAGATATTAGGAACAACCTGATGTAAGGTGTCAAACTTACTAATTAGTATACATTAAAAATATTGGAAAGATGTATGCTTAGCTTTTATGTTAAATGCAAATAAACCAAAGAAAGCCTTTTAATAAAATCTCGACAATTCTTAAAATTTTGTTCAAACATATTGGAGGGAGAAAAAAATAATGTTTGGATAACAAAATCACAGATTTAATTGAAGAGTTCATAAAGAGAATTTAGGCATTACTTCATCCAACCTATTATTCAATATGTAGATGAAGCTGAGCCACAGAGAATGTAAGTGATTTCCCCAAGGCTACACATCGTATTTTAGATGGGAGCCCCTGCCCTCCTTGTTTATTAATTCAGTGCTCATCCACTATAAACACATTCTATTTTTAAAAACCCCTTATGTAGTGTACAAAAAAATCTATTTTTGTGCATTTGATCAACACATAGGCTAAATGTTAATTGTTTTAAATTAAAATTTCTCTAACTGAAATATATTTTCCTTTACTCTCACCTCTTCCTTTTTGGATTTTTTATACCTTTTTGGAAGAAGTGATACACCTGTTGAGGCACAGCAGCCTATCAACAGTGAAATCATGGCCCAGAATTCAGTTTCAGAAAAAGAGCCGGCAAATGGAGCACAGAATCAAGGACCAGCTAAGCAAGAAAAAAATGAGGTAAGATTTATTACACCCAGTGTCTTGTAAAGTTATTTTCTTTGTAAGAAGTAATTGTATTTCCTTGGGTAGAACCTAAAAATAATTTTCTGGTTTTGGGGAGGAGAGAGAATATTTAGGTTTTCCTATTAATTTACTCATTTTCTCCCTTAAGAATATATGGTATTTAATTGTGTATTTTGGTGTATTTTTAACAGGTGAATTTATTAACAATCTAAAATACCACAGTTGATATTAATCTTACATATTTCAGTATTTAAGTAATTGAACTCACATTAAACATGGATAGCTTGTATTTTAAAGATATATGCTTTGTATTTTACTAATTAGGTTTAATGAACAAGAAATTATGGTATCTTAAATATAGAATACTTTTATCTAAGCCTTTAGAGCTCCAGATTATTTTTCTGTGGTGTTTTGGAAAGGAGATTGTGAAGTAGGATGTAAATTTTATCTTATATAATATGCATATGCTACTGAGAAAGGGTGATTGGTAGGTAGTTTAATAAATTGAATAAATTTTTTTTGTTGTTTTTAACTAAAAATTAAGAATGAAGCTTAAAAATTATTATTAAAAATGCAAATGCATATTTGTATCAAAAGCAACAGAACCCCAAAATACTGGGGGTGCCAAAAAATGTATACAAGTGGACACTTTGGTCAACATTGCTCAAGCAGTAAGTTCGCTATAATCAGAAGTGTCTGGATGCTGATGGTAACCACTTTGAGCACCTCTTGTAATTGCAGAAGTTAGGTGTGATTTGTATTCATCTTTTGTTTTCGGTATATTTTGAGTATTACAATTTTAATACAGTTTTCCTTTCTTAAAGTTTGTATACATTTTTTGGCACCCTCTGTATTTGAAGCAAACATTGACAGAATTGAAGAGAGAAATAGACAATTATGCAATAATAATTGAAGACTTCAATACCCCACTTACAAAATGGATAGAACTTCTAAACAAAATATCAGTAAGGATATAGAGGACTTCCACAGCACTGTAAAACAACTAGACCTAACAGACATCTATGAAACACTCCCAACAATAGCAGAATACCCATTCTTCTCAAGTGCAGGTGCAGTGTTCTTCAGGATGGACCATATGTTAGGACACAAAACAACTCTCATTAAATTTTAAAAGATTGAAATCATGCACTATATCTTTTCTGATCACAATGGAATGAAGCTAAAATTAATAACAGAAGGAAAATTGGAAAATTCACAAATTTGTGGAAATTAACACAGTCTTAAACCAGTGGGTCAAGGAAGAAATCACAAGGGAAATTAGAAAGTCCTTAGAGACTAATGTAAATGAAAAGAACATACCAAAACATACAACATTCCACATCTATGGGAAGCAAAAATAGTAGTATTCAGGGGAAATTTTATAGCAGCAAATTGCTATGTTAAAAAAGAATAAAGATCTCAAATCAATAACCTAACTTTATGCCTTGAGGAACTATAAAAAGAAGAGCAAACTAAACCCAAAGCGAGCAGAAGGAAAGAAGGAAATAATAAAGATTAGAAGGAGACAAAGTAGAGAACAGGAAAACAATAGAGAAAATCAATAAAACCAAAAGTTGGTTCTTTGGAAAGATCAACAAAATTGTCAAGCCCTTAGTTAGACTGACAAAGAAAAAAAGAAAAAAGGCACAAATAACTAAAATCAGAAATGAAACTTGGAGACATTACTATCAACTTTACAATAATAAGGATTATAAGAGAATACTATGACCAATTGATAACCTAGATGAAATGGATAAATTTCTAGAAACATACAAATTACCTAAACTGACTCAAGAATTTAAGTAGAAAATCTCAATAGACCTATAACAAGTAAAGAGACTGAATCAGTAATCAAAAGCCTCCCAATAAAGAAAAGTCCAGGATGAGATAGCTTTACTGGTGAATTCTACCAAACATTTAAGGAAGGATTAACACTAATCTTTCTCAAAATCTTCCAAAAAGTATAAAACTCTTAGAAGAAAATACAGGCATAAATCTTTATGACATTGGATTTTGTAGTGTGTTCTTAGATATGATACCAAGAGCATGAGCAACAAATTAATAAATTAATAAATTGGATTTCATCAAAATTTAAAACTTTTGTGCATCAAAGGGCATTATCAAAAAAGTGAAAAACAGGGCTGGCTGAGTGGCGCGATGGTTAAGAACTGGCTTGGGACGCCAGAGGGCCCCGGTTCGGNGGCCCTGTACCTGTCTTCTTAATGTTCAAGTCCCTTTAGTTGAAAGTTATTCCTTAAAACTTTATAAACATGGTTTTTAAATTTTGATAATTAAAATTCTAAGGTAAAATCTTTATTTTTACATCCCGTATTCTTTTGCTGGCTGTAAAGGCAATACGTGTGCAATGAAGAAATTTTGGAAAATATAGGAGTATAAACATGAGAATTAAAATCCCACACAATTTCACACTTAAATGACCAGTCTATTTTCTATGAATATGTTTTTTTAAATTGTAACTGTGCCATTAATAATTTGCTTTTTCACTTGATAGATCATAAATATTTTCCCATGTTCTTAAACATTTTTTTGAAGTCAGTGATTAATGATTAACATTTTTTGATATACAGTTACTGTATCATAATTTAATGACTGTATCATAACTTTACCTAATTCCTTATTGTAGAACAGCAGATAGTTTACACTTTTTTCTCCTGTAAATAGTACTATATTGAACATGTGTATATAAAAATCTCTGATTATTTCCATTCATCTTTTTTTAGTAATTCCTTATATACATGAAGAAAATGAGTATTAAAGCCACCACTCAGTTTTTCCTTCAAAACTGGCAAGAAATAATAATTTCCTGATTAGCAGTTATGTATTTCAATAGTTGGGAAACTTCCTGCCTTGCTTTTCCAGGAAACCCATTGGGACATATGGCTGGCTTCCTATACTTAGAGTTGGTACTATGAAGTATTACTATTGATTGCAGTAAATTTATTGAAAGAAACCAAAAACTAAACCTTTTCCTGTTCACATAGGTTAGTTGGAGGCATTGAGGAAAGAGCACTGGACTCACGTTTCTATTTCTGATTAAAGCAAGAGATCTTTAATCCAGGCACAAAAATACAGAATAAATATATACAGAAGCATTTTCTGTTAAGTTGCTATGAGACTGTGGGGTAGGAAGGTGTGATACTTTCTTTAAAGTTCCTTAAAGAGGGGGGATTCTAGGATCAGATAAGTGAGATGGGACTTCCTAAAGCCTATGGTGACTTTTTTTTTTCCTAAGATTTTTACTGGGGAATTGGGGAATGGGAACAGCGCTGGGGAATTGGGGGAAGGGGAGCAGACAAGTTGCTGTCCTTTTGTTCTTCAGTCTAGTTGTGGAGGACGTTGCTTCACTGGCCCAAATTGGCACCATCATTGCGTTCTTCCCAGGCGAGGCAGATCAGTCGCCGGCTTTTGGACAGCTGCTCACGGCCACTGCTGGCTGCTCACGCTGGCTGCTGGCTACACATGGTAGCCCATGGCAACCCACTGCAGCCGGGGCTGCAGCCTATGCCATCGCCGGTGACTCACGGCAGTGGGGTGACTTCTTAAGGCATCTTATTCTGTATTTCATATTTAAAAGATAGAGATGATATCTAGTGATGAAAATGGATGAGTATATTTAATATAGGAACATCCTATTATCTAAATTTCAAAGGAATAGAGATGTCTTGAGCATTGGTAGAGACCCTCTTGAACTTTTCTTGGACTTTACAATCCCTTTAGAGAAAATTCTCATTGTGTGGGATGTTGGGCTTCAGTTATGGGAGAGCTGCTGTTATTCTTCTGAGTATAATATAAGATGACAGGAGCTTCTTGGTCAGTATAATGAACAGCATGTTTGGACTTCTGCACCAGCGAGATTATCTTTATAAAGAAAAAAGATGCACAAAAATCCAACAAAATACGACTCTGCAGGTGTTGTTGCTTTTGTAAAGAAAGTAGAAATTGAGGGATGACTGGATAAAGATGGAAAGAAGTGGAGTATAAGTTATTAGACAATTTTAGAGGAAGCAAAAAGGTAAAATATGACATGTCAAAAAGTAATACATGTGTCACTAGCTGAGCAGTAGCAATAACCTAGAAGACATCTATTATGCCTCTGAAATTGGACTTATGAGGCAAAGCAGTGTGGAATAATGAATAGAGGTGGTCTTTGGAGTAGACTTGGGTTTGAACAATAGCTTTGCCATTTATTAGCTGTGTGACCTTGGGACAGTTACTTAATCTCTCTCAGCCTCATGCCCTCCTCTGTAAAATAGGGTGTTGACTTGCAAAGTGAGATAAAGTTTCTAGCAGAGTGGCAAGCATGTGATTGGTACTTAATAAATACCAGTTTCTCCCATTTGCAGTTCATACCCTTGGTAAGGACAGTGTGTCAAAAGGGCTGCTTAGGGCCGGCCGAGTGACACGGTGGTTAAGAACTGGCTTGGGACGCCAGAGGGCCCCGGTTCATACCCCACATATGAGGGCCAGTGACACTGCCCTCTGCAGCTAAGATGCTGAACAACAGCTCAACCTGGAGCTGGGCTGCCGTGAGTCGCCAGGAGCCCCTGCTGCAGTAGGTTACCATGGGCTACCGAGTGTAGCCAGCAGCCACAGTGAGTGGCCGTCCAGAAGCTGGCGACCGATCTGCCTCGCCCGTGAAGAGCGTAATGATGGTGCCAACTTGGGCCAGTGAAGCAACGTCCTCCACAACTAGACTAAAGAACAAAAGGATAGCAACTTGTCTGTTCCCCTTCCCCGATTCCCCAATAAAATCTTAAAAAAAAAAAAGGGCTGCTTATAACATGCTATGAGAGAGCTACTGTGCTGTGGAAGAAGTATAAAAATTTAGTTTGGAAAAAGTCTACTTTGTTTTAAAAAAACATTTTAGATGTAATTAAAAAAATATTAGGAAAAAAAGGGCTAGGTGGTGGAATAGAAAAAAAATATTGGGAAGCTCTGTTAGATCAATTATGTTAAACATGCCACATGAAGAG